GCCAGCTCTCACTCTGGAGAGATTTTATTCTGTCTAAATGCTGATATATATATGGTTTGCCAGCTAATCAAAATGATGTTGAAAAATCATTTTTTACAAATGAAATACACGTTCATGTACAAAACTTAGAGTTTTTCATTGGCTAACACAGGTTTCCAAGAACATACAGGATCATGGTTAAAAAAATGTTTAAAAACACTGACTACACAGTGTCCAACAGCCTTAGGCCTATAGATAGAGCCAGGCCTTGTCTTTGGACCATAAAACTCAGAGCCCCAGTGTTAGAAGAAATGACCTCAGCAGTGTCTTTTGCTGACACCAGGGGCCATATCCAAAACACCAAATGGCACATTGGTTTAATCTGAATGAATGTTATGTATTTCATGATGTGTGTAAGTTCACCTGTTTGATTTCTTATGTCACTCAAGTATTTCATGCTAATAGTAAATACAGATGTGACCTTTCTGATTACATTTCTCAAAAGTAACATGATCTAATGTTTTATAATATGTGTGTGTGTGTGTGTGTGTGTGTGTGTGTGTGTGTGCTGACTGGTAAAAAATAAGAGAATATATATATATATATATTCCAATGTTTGCATAACTCCCCATCTTTATTTAACATAAACATGAATAGATGTTAAAATGTTACAATTTCAATCAATACTTACAAGTGTTTTCAATTAAAAGATAAACATGTTTTCCTATTCTCTTACTACAAGAATTCTGTGACTTTATAAATCTTAAGTTAAAAGCAAAGGCAGTAAGTTTTGAGTTCAAAAACATACAAGTAAAAACTTGCTGATGTTGTTTTCTCACAAAGTATAAGGAAAAATACGCCATATTGTACTTACATTATTTAAAATCATTGACAGTAAAAATAAGGTATTAATCTGGTTCTTGTAAGTCATTAAAGTGAAAGGACAATTATAACTAAATCTAGAGGAAATTATAACAAATCAGATTCTATCAATACAGGGGTTCAAGAGCCATTGGGTGGCAGTTGCTATTTCTTAAAAGTTTCTGAGCTTACCTGTTAGCTCTAGTGCTCATACTTTGAATATAGATGTTCTAATCTCAGAAAATTTCTTTTCTAGAAGATTCCAAAACTCAGGCAATCATGTAGGTAAAATCTCTAGCAAATATGATAGACTACTTTAAGATTCCTTTTACTGGGATCCAGAAGATCTTGTCTAGGAGAAGATTATATGATATATACTAAGGCCTTAACTAACTACTCAGTTGCCTACATCAATATGGCACATGCTGTTGAGTGGGCCCCAGATATCCATGCAAGTGCAGAGGTTAAAAGGATTTGTAGGAATAAATTCATCTCAGTTGATAGAAGTTACTCAGAAAGTGTTTCATAATGAAGAGTATGCAAAATGGAAATATAGACAGCAAAAGAGAAAAGTGATGCTAGCAGCCCATAGGAAGGAATGCCCATCAGGACAAAGGGAAAAAGTCATGTTTCTCTGAATCCAAACTGAGAAAAGGGACATTTCAAGCAAAAATGTTCAAGCTGATAGAAAAGGAAAACAGATAGTGTTTATGATGGAATCAGAGGAAGTTTCAGATTGACTGAGGTCATTGGTCTTTGCCTCTCCAGGGAAAGTGTGTTAACTGCCAATGTAGGGGAGAAGCCTGTTGACTTTTCATAGGTGCCCAGTGCAGACTTGTCAGTAGTTACCCAGCTACTGGTGGCCCCACTTCTTACAAACCGGAGAGTGCTCAGTGTTTTCCAAAGTTTTGGGCAGAAGACCGTCCCCTAGGTGTAACAGTTCATATGCCCCATGAACCCTGGCCACTGCACTCTGCCCAAGCAGGTATTTTAGTCCACCAATCTATCTGGCCAGCCTATAATAACCTTCTTTTAAGTTTGTAATTATAAAATGACTAGTGAGAACTTTTTATAGGTTAATTAGTAAAGATCATTTATAAGAATAATTTGAAAAACATGAAAAGCTCTTATCTATAATATATATGTAGACAGATATAGATATAGATATAGATATAGGTATATAGATATAGATTTGTGCTTGGCAGGCAGGCACGTAAGCCACTGAGCTATCTCCCTGGCCCCCTATAGTTAATATATTTTTAGTATTCTACTTTTTATTTAATAGCTGCCTTAAGAAGCCTTTAAATGTGGGTTAAATCCATTTTCTAGCTTCCATGGCCATTGGGTATTGTCTCAAATAAACTGGCCTGTGTGTCTCACCAGCTCTACTATGGACACAGGCATTTTTATTTTTATGTGTTTAGTACAGGGTCTACAGGGTCTCACTACTAGATGGGACTCATAGCGATCTGACTGTTTACACCCTCCCAAGATCTGGGATTACAGGCACGCACCATCATGTCCTGTCTCAATTGCCATCTCAGTGCACTCCCGGGGGTGGGGCTAGCATGACAGGCCAGGGAATTGAACCTAGGCCCCTGTGCCTGCTTGCAGGCTATTACATTCCTGATCCTTTTGCTAATGTGTCAATAGCTGTTCAAGATATTAAATAACAAATCAATGCTATGTCAGATACTGAAGTTTCATAGACGATGTCCTTATCATCTTCATAGGAAGATATTACTGGCTCCTCTTTGTTGACTGTTTTCATAATTATTGTGTTGATGTTATTATTTGGCCCATGCATACGTAATTATTTCTTTGGATTTTTCTCCTCCAGATTGAAAGCTATATGCCTATCCAAGATAAAAATAGCTGTGCCTGATGAGGGCCTTTAGATAGAACCTCTGGAGTGTACTGACTGCCAGTTAACAACTATGTCCCCTTTTAGCCTGAAAAAGCCAGAACAATCACTGCCTACTGTTCCCTAATGGCAGTGCAGGTTACTTCTTCAGAGGGGGGAATGTTGTAGGCAACTGAGTTAGAAATATTATAGGCAGTCAGGCAGGACTAGGCCCTCAAAGGAGACAGCACAGAAGACAAGATACCTTGCAACTGTAAGAGAGATGGATGCTCCCCTGGGGGCCAGACCTAAAGACCAAAGATTGAACAAATGCTTACCTCCCTACAGATAAGCATCTTGGATTGATTATCACCTTAAGGAAGCCAGGAAGAGTCACTAATCCAACTGCTACCAGATAAACTCCTGTTCTGTATTCATGTCCCCATTTGGTCTTTAATTTAATCAATTTTACCTGAGCTATTGTGCTGTAACCTTGTTGATTGATCATAGTTTTGTCTCACTTCATGTGCTAGTTCCCATGTTTTCTACCTCAGACCCACCTCAACTCATAGTTTTGCTCTATAAAAATGCCTTTTAATGACATGTTCTTGGGCAACCTGCTCAAGTTCCCCTTCTGTCCCTCTCTTGGACAGCTTTCTTTCCCCCAATAAATATATTCTGCCTTTCTCCTACATTTTTCCTAAAACTCATTCAAGAGTTTTAGACATGAACTTGTCTGAAGTATATTTAAGTTTGGGAGTTTCATTCCCTTATATTGTTAGCTCCCAACTCTGAATTGTTCAATCCAAAGAAATGGTAGAGTCTCCTTTGTCTGAGAGACAGTATTAACCTTTTATGGTCAAAGGTATAAATTAGACCTTTTGTTCTGTATGTTCCCAGAGAATCAACACTTTTCGTCCATGATTGCATGGGTCCCTCTGTATGGGAAAGTTGTGGATTCTGTGTTCAATAGTTTTAGATTACAATACAGGCAAATATATTGACTTCTGATTGGAGTGCTTCCAAAATTTTCACAGTGATTTTGAACTCTTAGGATCAATTTTTCCAAGTCATAGTTTCACAACAGAGTTGGAGAGGCAATAGTTAAGTACATTTTTTTATTCAGTCTTGTCTGATGTGTTCATGAGCCATCACTTTATGAATGAAGGAGCTGAGAAGATAATTTGGTAAGCGTCTAAGATGGACAATCATGTGGTGACCAAAGGAGCTAGGTATCTGAGCTCCCACTGCCTTCACCATTTAAATAGGCATTCTTTATATAGCTTGTAGCCTCAAGAAGTATAAAAACCAATATTGTTCAAAGTAAGAAAGACACCTCCAGTTCTTTAGTTCCTTGTTGCCATTTGCACACCTCTGTTTTCTATGTGTCCCTTGTCAGTTTGGAAAACTTGCTCATGTTGTGAAATTTTTGACACAGTGGGTGTGACTTCTGGCCTTTACAACTGTGTTCGTTTAATCACCTAACCAGGCTACCCTCAACTTTTTATCTAAATGTAAAACCTTTTAGACATCCTAATCAGAGGAGCAGTTGAGGTAGCTCATGTTGTGCTCAGCTCTTCTTGAACCAGCCAAAATGTGTGAAGATTTGATAGAAGCTTATAACATAAAATACTGTGAGAAACATTCGTGATCTCTGTGAAAGGTTTGAGTTACTACCTGAGGAATCAAATCGCAGGCCTTAATTGCAAAATTGTCATGATTTACTGACAAGAAAGGATTCAGTATCTGGCTGTATTCAATACAAAGGAAAACTTCCCTTCTAGTGACTTTTCTGAGCAAGAAATAGGACTTGAACTTTCATAGAGGTTTTTCCCTATCCAGGCTTAATAGAAGGAAATGTAGAGGTTAAATGTCCCACCCTCCCATCTTCCACAAGGAGTCTACCATGTACTCACACTGGCAGGAATGAAAAATAGCTTAGACCTTTGCATACAAGCTGGTACTGACATATCTAGCAATCATATAGATTAGTTAACATGTCAAAGGTTGGAAAACTTGTGTAAGGAAATGTCAAATGTGTTCCTTCTTTATTAAGAAAAACCATGATGAGACAAGTTTGAAAGAGAGTTCTACTGAGAAGGAACAGAGGCAGAATAGGATACTGATAGAAGGGATTTCCACTCAGCTTTTCAATAAATGGGGAAAATACAGGGCTTTTTTTTAAAGCTGGAAGCAAAGTTTGTTGATCTGTGATCTTGGCAAAAGCTTTGTGATGTCATAAACTTCTAGAAGCTTTGGATTGTCTCTGAGATCCTTACTGTGAGACTGCCTGTTGGACTGTTTTTCCATTTCTGAGGATGTGTAGCTTGATGCAGCTCTCATGAATCCAGGAAGATTTTTTCGATTTTAATGGATGTAGATGGTTAGCAGCACACCATAAAGTCTTTCCCAGCAAGGTAATGGTATACACTTTGTTCTAAACATCCTGATGAGAGGGCCTGGGATATGGATCAGCAGCACAGTGCTTGCCTGGAAAGCGTGAGGTTGTGAGTTGATTCCCAGTACCTCCACCAAAAAGACTTGAGATATGTTTATAGCTTGGTTGAAAGAAATGGCAAAGCTTATCAGTCAATGGAGGCTGTACCTTTTGTGCTGGATGGTGTCCTCCAACTATTTATTGTACATAGCAAGTCATAGCATAATATTTTTTTATGTAAGACATTATAACATCCACTTTCACAAGAATGGAAAATTAAAAAAAAAGAATGGAAAATTTAGAGATGATAGTTGGTACACAAAAACTATTTCAAAAATTTTAATTTATTTCTCTTATTTGGAGTTTATATTTTATAAGGGCCAAAGGTAAAACTTTGAGCCATTCTTAAGTCTAGCTTCCTGACAAGTTTTTCTTCTAAAATTGTTTTACATTTATGTTTTTATGTTCTACTTATTCTGATGATTAAGTATGGCATAAGGTATAAAATTTTAAAAAAATAATACAGAATTTTTCTGAGCAAGTGGTTTATTTCTGCTAAAAAATGACTTTAGTATGAGTCAATCTACAAAAGAATGCTAAAATAAGCCACAACTATTTTGTCCCTGGTGTGGTGATACATCTAAGTAGATGGCATATCTCTACACACTACACATGCAGATAGCACTACACATGCAGATAACAATCAAAGAGTTGAGGTAACCCAAAAACCTTCTTGAAGGTAAGTCTGTGAAATCCATGTGGACCACTGTGAGGGCAGTCCCTGAGGGTATGCCCTCAAATAGATGCATAAATTACCTAAAAAAATCTGGTAAATTATTGGTTCTGAAGTTTTGTAAATGTTAGAGCAGAATTGATTTCCTTTCAGTTCCTCAATGTCCCTATACATTAAATGTATGACACATCTGATGGGAGATAAATATAACCCAAAAGATTAAAGAAAGCAGACTGAATTCTGTTCGGCACAATGTGTAGAGGATCTAATGATTGCTTGACTCACTTACATATTTACTTTTTCCAGATTTCCTGACTGTCAGTAATATCGGTAAGGAGTAACAGCAAGTTTATAAATTGATTGACATGCCAGGTGTGATGGTGTGTGCCTATAATGCCAGCACTCACTTGGGAGGCTGAGGCAGCCTGTACTAATACAGCAAGTTCAAGGCCAGCCTGAACTGCATAGTAAAATCTTGCTTCAGAAAATAAATGAATTAAATAAATAAACTGGAGAAAGAATGGAAAAGCAATCTATTTTCAACAACATATTTAGCAACATCTTCAGTTTTTTGTTTTGTTTTGTTTTGTTTTGTTCTTAGGGGATATGTTGTCAGTCTCCTTGCATGTGCTGACTAATAAAACAAAACAGCAATTTTAGTAATAAGGTGAAGAGCCTGTAATAGGCTTCATTTGTGTGCTCATTGGCAATAAAACTACTGGAAGATGGTAAAGTTACAGGTTTCTGGATAACGTCACTGGCATGAGAGACTTCAAAGGTGCATCAAGAATGGTGAGAACAGAACAATTAATAAGTCGGAAGAGAAATAATATAAAGGAAAATTAATTGAGCTTCTAGAAAGACTAATTTGTGGAAAAGTGACTAACATATATGAAAGAAACCGATGGAAGAAAAGGGTTATTTTAGTAGCTTTTTTTCTTTTTTTTTTTTTCAAATACTTCAGCATCAGCTGTTAGTCTTCAGTCATAAGAGTACTGTACTCTTCATAGTATGCTCTACAGGAAGAATACTGTATTTTTTGGGAAAGTCAGAGTATCTTTCCTATATCTGCCATTTTCCCATCATCTTTAGTTCAAAATAACTAATATACAAAAGCAGTAAATTTTAGACGGCATTCTTTAATCTCCTTCACAGGTATTGTGCTATTTTATTATGTTAGTATTTTGTAACAACAGACCCATACATTATGATGAACTGCATGGTGTGTGTACCTGTGCAAAGTGTCAAATAGAATTTTTAACCCACATTTATGCTCTGTATAACAGGTTTTGTATATGTTTACCTGGGAATCATAGGGGATAAAGTACACCCACGCCATTCTTCTGCTATGTAAACATGTAGTTTACTACAATGGAATGTGGGTTTATTTTGATTTTTTCTGGTAGACATAGCCCAATTCAGCACCATGGTACATGATAAACTAGATTTGCAAGTTTTGAAAGAGGTCAAAAGTACATCATCATATCGCTCATGCATGGAAGGTGAAGATGTTAATGACTTTGAGATTGACCATGTGAGTCACAGATCCTGTGACAGTGAAATGAAGCAAGAATCAATTGATACAGACAAAAAGAATGTGGACCTCCTTGAGTTGGATGATGAAGATATAGCACTGTGAGTACATATCTGTTACCCAAAGTGTTACAAAATGGCCTTGGAACCAAATGGAATGACCCAATGTTAGAACTAGGTTCAAAAATATAGTGACGATCTTAGCAGGGATGAAACCTATTGGACAGAATGCCAGCACCACCACTCAATGTTGGACATTGTAACAGATGAAATGCTACAAGACACTGTAAAGTACAAAAATGCTGAAATACAAGTAAAATGTTCTGAATGCAGATTTATGCTAAAAATTTATTCATTATTAAACCTTACTAGCTGAACTAAAAGCATTCATAAGTCTACAGTACTTAGCAGGGCTTTTTTATGCCCATTGCAGGAATGTAAAAGACTTATTGAAAAGTGATGGGTGTGGACTTGACATTTGCAGAATAATACTGAGGAGATATACTGAGATTTAGTTTCTTTTAAAATTGCCTAAGGTTTGATGATAAAACTACACACCAAAAAAGAAAAAGAAAAGCTGATAATCTGGCTGCTATCCACTCATTGTTGGAGAGATTTGTGAATAATTGTCAAACAATTTACACACCACTTGAACTGTGACTATTGATAAACATCTTGCAGCATTTCATGGTCACTGTGGCTTGAGGGTGTATATTAAAAAAAAAGAACCTTTCAAAATGTGGCATAAATTTGGGACAGGGTGAGAACATTCTCTCAGGCTTTCACAGAGAGCAAATTGGCCAAGCAATGGCCATGACTCAGTCACATGGCTGACACTGACAAAGGATCTACAAACTTCAGTACAGGGCTTCAGGTTAAATCCTGAGGGGATTTCACTGACCTTGGCAAATACAAAAGTTACATTTCTTGTTATATAGGTCTTGCTTTATCTTGGTCTTAACCAACCAGTAGAAAAGTATAAAAACGAGGTATAAGTAAAGCCATATTAACATGCTGAGCTGTAAAAGGCTCAAGTCTACAGCTTCTGACATTGCCAGTCTTACAGAAAACCCACTACTATTATGGACTACTGGACTGTATTGGATTATTTTACAAATTCACCCTCCTACAATATTTAAATGGCAATGGAATACCCTTCTCTGACAAAACTGAACAAAAAAGGGGATACAAATAAAGGACCATTTTTATTTATCTGTACATGCAAGATAGTTAGGTTAGATATGCAGCTGCTTTCTCTTAATTCAATGAGAAGAAACATTTGTACTCATAGCAGTTGGACAGGATATCATGCATGCATCTTGTACTGTGAATAACCACTATGAAGACAACAATATGCAATGTAATAATTATTGAAACTATCCTACTAATTGGTTTTGAAACTGATTAGTATTTGTTTCATTGTTATTTGTTTCTCAATAAAATTAATAAAAAAATTTAAAAATATGGCATAAGCATTTATGCTCTTGTACATGCAGATCCTACTTATGCTTTCAATTTAGAAGTTTATCCTGGAACTCAACCAACAGTTGCTTATTCATGTAGTAAAAAATCAAGTGATGATGTGAACAGACTTGTCACTACCATCTCACGAACTGATAGGAATATGACATTTGCCAATTGGTTTAGCAGTTTCCAGTTGATGCTGTGTTTGCTAAAAGAGCACAAATTGGCCAGTACAGGAACTGTATGCAGGAACAAAGGAGAAATTCCAAAAGAAATGTTGCAACTTCAAAACGGATAATTGTATGGTAAAATCTTTGGATTTCAGAAATAAATGTCATTGGCCTTGTATATGGAAAAGAAAAACAAACTAGCACCTCTGATGTCAACATTGCAACATGATGGAATTATTGATAGGGAAACCTCAGCAAGACCAAAGCCTGAGATAGTAACTTTTTACAACAAAAACAAAGGTGGAGTAGATGTTATTGATGAGTTATGCAACAACTATGATGTCATTCAAACCCCAAAGCACTGGCCAGTGGTTGTACTTTACTTAATCCTAACCATGAGTGGCATAACAGAATTCTATTGGTGTTTTCATTGTTGTTCATATAGTGATTTATTTCTGACGTTATCTTTTAGGTTTTGTAAGCAAGTATACAACTAATGTGAGAGTATTCATCTTTATTCCAAAGGTGTAATACATACTAGGAATTTAATACTTTATTCTATGTTCCTATTAACTAGACACCATACAATATGATAATAACCTCTTGACAAAACAACAAGACTACTGGGTGATCAATCACTTCCAACAAAAATGCAAGGAAAGCAAAACACATGTGCTGTCTGTATAAGCGATATGTGTGTATGGAACTTGCTGTTGTCAAGTGTGAAGACTACCTTAGATGTGATAACTGAAGTAAAGATTATTTTTGTAGCATTCTACTGGCATTTTAATTGTAATTTATATAGTAATTTCCTTTGTTCTTTTTAAGACTTTGTACATCAAAAGCCAGTCAATATTGAAAATTTTTATGCTTTTAAATAAACAATATTTAAAAATTCAGTGTTGTTTTCTATTTTTTTCCTGTTAAGTATTCATTGCTTAATATAATAAAATTCACAATATTAAAATTAATAATTTATCATTAGAAGTATAGTGGACCCTCAAGTTATGACCTGCCTAGACCAATTTGGGTTATGAATTTTAGTTTTAGCTTACAATCAAAGTTTTGAATTATGATCCAAACCAGCCACTTGTCTTTCCAGATGGTCTCAGAAACAGATTTAACTCTTAAAGAGTTTTGGAAGGAGCATTACAACATCCTTTCCTGAATGGGATTCATTGAGAAATCTTGGCCGATGTCTGTTGGGACACTGAAATTTGCTTCTGTACAGGACAGAGAATTTGAAGGTTGTGTAGAGGAAGGAGCCTGAGCCTTCAATTAACAACCTGTGTTCCAATTAGCTCTTGAGACCAAATTAAAGTGGATCTTTAAGTGGACCTCTGTAAAACAAGGGTCTACTTCATTGTGAAGAGTAATTCTGGACATTATACCCCCACAGTAATGCACCTTTATGATAGGATTCGTGTTATGCCCTGTTTGCTACAGAAATCAAGTAATATGCCAAAGCCCAGTTAATTAGGAAGTAGCTACTTTTGGCATTCAAAACTCATGTGTGTCATACTCCAGAGTTTTAGTGTACCAAAGTGATTTGTTCATCTTGCAGTAAATTTAAGTATTGTACATTGTTAGTAGATATGCATACAAATATATGACTATCATACTATGATATATAAATTTGGGCTTTCATTCACAGTTCCTGGCTACAATTCCCTTCCCAAGATAAGCCATGGAACTTAGAGTTTCTCCTTCCTGGTTCTTTGGCCTTCTGTGGTCTGGTTGTATGATTCTTATCATATGTTAGGTCATAAGATCCTCTTTGCAGAGATGTCCTATCCCCTTGTCAGATGGTAGGTTATAAAACTCTCCTCTTTGCAGATACATCCTTTCCCATTGTATGGAGGAAGGCTGAGAAGAGAGACCTGGGATAACTGCTGAAGTGAATACTTCTCTCTAGGTGAGTTTTTGTTTTTCCTTCCCATTGACATGAGACCATACCCTATTTGTTCAATGACATATTGGCATAGTTGGTGATGCTTTAGTTACGGTTATGCAGTGATATAAAATCACCAAAGGACAAGAGTGCAGAGAGCTTCCAGGTAACTGAACATCAGAGATGCTTGGAAGATGTCATCTGGAGAAAATGTAGACGCTCGGCACCCATTTTCCAGACCTTACCCAGGCTGCTGTTGCATCTGCATCTTGTATTTGCTACATTATCATGAACTGGTAAATGTATTTTCTTGAGTTCTATGAACTGTTCAAACAAATTAATGACAATGAAAAAGGCAGTTATGGAAACCCAAATTTATAAATAGTCAGAGTATAGGCAAATCAACCTGTGGCCAGTGTCTTCCACGTGAACCAGTAGGTGGAGTCTTGGGAACCAAGCCCCCAATCTGTGATATCTGCTCCCAGAAGTTAGCATCAGAATTAGATTAGATTTGAGGACACTCAGCTGGTGTTCACTGAGAATTGTTTGCTTACAGGTGGAAAGATAACCCCATACCTTTGAAGTTACAAAAGTCTTGTACACTGGTTGGCAGTATAGGAGAAGAGAGGGAAAAACAGATAAAGTACTTTGTTTCTTTATTTTCCTGACACTCAAAAACTGACCCTTACTACATGCCATGGTACTCTTGTGTTTCCTGTACTGATTATATCATATTCTGCTATTGTCTATTTTGCTCATTTAAAAATGTTTATCATGCCAATTGATTTGTAGTGGTAGGTCACTAATAAGTTATGACCTTCAATTTAAAAAAAATAAAACCTGTTAGGTATATGACTACCATCACTCTTTACATCATTACATTTACAATTACTCTTCATTGTGCCAAAATTATGTAGAACAGCTGAAGTAATAGCTTGAGAATTCTCCAACATGTTGGGTAAGATTTTGTCCAAACACGTTTTGGGTAGAGGTGGCCTGAGTGTGGGCCAGATGACCACCTCCCACCCCAAGGGGAGACTTGGCCTTCCTACTTTCCCTTCTGCACAAAGACTGTGCTCTCTGTAGAGGCAAAGTTATAATAAAGATTAAAGGGAAATTTAATTGTAAATGCAATAGCTTCCCATTTATCTCTGATGGATGTGTTCCAAAATATTCTAAATATCCGAAACCCTTGATAGTACTAAATCCAATACATACTATTTTTCTTCATATATATATATATATATATATATATATATATATATATCTGTGATAAAGTTTAATTATGAAATAGGCACAGCAAGAGATTAACAGCTACATAGACTATCAGGACAGTTTTAGCAATATAGTATATAAAATTATTCAGAATATGTGAATTATTTCTGAAATTGTTCACTTAACCTTTTTAGATCATGGGTAATTCAAACTATGTAAAACAAAACTACAGATATGGAGAGACTCATATATTATTTTTACTGAGTTTCTATAATTTGAAATTAATTTTACTAAGTATGACTTTTTTATGCCCATCTCTCTTTTTCATTGACCTACAATCTTTATAGGAGACTTAGGTTATTGCTGTGATCCATAATCATCTCTTTAATGAGATGAACCATAAAAATGAGCAATTATAATCAATATTTAATCATATTAGTAGTCTGAGAAATTGAATTGTTCTTTATATCTACTTTTATAATAAAAATATTTCATAGTTATTTTTTCCACATATTATCACAGAATTATCAGGAGTTAGGTTATGTGTTACTGATATATTTTTAAAGGGATAAGTGATAACTAATGATTGAATAATTTGGATCTTCTAGCTCTTGCATAATGGGGCAAAATAGAAATAAAAGCTCCTCTTCCTCTTCTAGATTGGGTCTCCTTTTCTGTCACCTCCTTACATGGCCCTGGAGAGATAAATGGAAAATTCAGTTACGAAAGAATAAACAACTTAAAGTAAATGTCAAATAAGAGGAGAAAAGTCCTTGTACAGTAGGACACCCATAAGTGTCTCTAGAGCTGATTCCTGATGCAAACATTCCAACCTCCTTTAATGTTGCTCCATTAGCTAGCGAGAATGGTAGTAGTTGGGACAGTCCTGAGCAAATAACTAACATTAGATTAGAACAAATAATTTAACAGCTTAAACCCCTTCCAGGCTGCAGCTACTAAGACAAATCTTCACATTGACATAATCATGTAAAATCAAAAGTAGCTGTTGTTTGCTAAGGATGGTACTAGTCAATTTTTGAACTTTAACTCTTGATCATGTTTAAAATGATGTGAATGCTCATGACCTCTCCAAATTCCTATGTCGATACTTAGTCTCCAGTGTAATAACATTAAGAGGTGGGGCCTTTGTGGAAGTGAATAAATCATGAAGTCAGAGCATCTCAAGATTAGCACCCTGCTAAATGAAGCCAGAACTTCAGGGAGCCCATTTAACCCTCTCATCACCTGGGGTTGCTGTGTAGTCTTTGAGGAGGAAGACCTAAATCAGAAATCAAACCAGTCTTCACTTTTATCTTGGAATTCTCATAAATAAATATATTTTTATTGTTTCTATTTTATCTAGTCTATGATATTTTGTTGTAAGAGCACAAATGACTTAGGGAATGATACACGGGACCTGGGCGTGACAGCACCATGGGAGGTTGAAGCTGCAGATCTGGAAGTCTTAGCCTATACTGCCAACATAGTCACTTGATGTGACCCTGTCTCAAAATAATGAAAGACAGCCAACAATCTAGGAATGCAGCTTAGTGCAAGATCCTAGCTTCTGTTGCTACAATTCTTTGCAGAGGTTTTGTTTTCTCTATCACAATAATTTTTATGAATAAAATCTGTTTTTACCACTTTACTGTCCAGCTGTTCATTGTTGTTTCTGTGTTGAGTGGTGGCTTCTGATGAGTGAGCTGTAGGCTGTGTTTGAATGTCTTCATTTGCAAGTGTTGCTCTTTCCACTGAGGAAGAGTGGGCACCTTTGAAAGTAGAACAATGACCTAATCCTACAACGAAAGGTCTATTTTGTATTCTTATCACCTTTGAGATCAACAAAGATTTTAGACATGGAATGTCATTCACATTCCTTTTTTTTTTTGTGGTACCAGGGATTGAACTCAGGACACTGAGCTTGCCAGGCAGGTGTTTATTCTACTGAGCTAGCTCCCTGGTGCCCGAGCTATCTACCCAGCCCCCCACATTCTTTCAAAATGAATTATCGTCCAAGTACAAGACCAGTGTCTTTAATAAAACACCTCTGACATTGATCTGGCATGCATTCTTAATACCAATGATGAATATTTTTATAACATATATAATTTGCTTAAAAATTCAACTTTGAAAAGTTGTGTCATCAGATTGTGATTTTTTTTAGCTCCTTGGCTAGCTTTCTAATTATATCAGCATGCAACAGCTCAAACTTGCAGCATAAATTGAACATATGTGAATTATATTCTATGTTCCACCACAACAATTAAATAATATTTGACTTTTTAGGCTGTTTTGCGGAATTTTTTTATTCATTTGACAGTTTTTTCTCTCTCTCCTTTTTCAGCTTAGGGCAGAAGAACTAAAGGAACTTGAACTTACTAATTTCCTAAGGAGAAATTGCTTTTATTTTTATAGTATATGTTGTAGCTCCTTGAATTCAATGCCTTAAATTTCATTCTTCATCTGTATTACACTACAGAAATCTGTCTTTAACTTAAGAAAACGCTTAATAATCCAAACAGTTGTAGTAGAAATGTGTTTTACCCTTGGAGTCTTAAACATACTTCATATACTAGTAAAAATGTGTGGCGTTCTTATGTCCGTTTACCATCCTTGCTAATTTTCTCTGAGCACCAACTACCCACAAATGCACTCACACATCAGGCTCACTCGTGAATTTTCCCTGTCTCATCGTAATGGGACACTGTGAAGGAAGAAGTCTCAGATGGGCAAGAAGCTGCATTTCTCACTCAACAGGTCAATTACTGCACAGCTAAATAGACTGCAGCAACTTCCGACCTACCCATCTTTTCTGCTCTTATGTAGTCTATGTGCTTGATTTGCTGGTGACAGAACACCAAACACATGCACACTAAAGAGTAGCAATTCCTTTAGCTTTAAGGATCTCCACCTGATCAAAACATAGTTGAGGTGACAGAAAGTTAAATGAAAGGTGAAAGGAACCAAAGAATAAAGGCTAAAGAGAAAGAAAGTTAATCAACTGCCACTTCCAGTGATATTAACTTCTCTTGTTGAATTTAGTTTTGATATTTATTTTTGGTCAACTTATTTATAAACTATGATATTTTAAGAAGAAGTTTTCTAGAAAGTCTTGCCTAACTGCTCCTTTTCCCCCTGAGGACACAGGGAACTTTTTGCTTTAAGAGCAGAAACTTATACATTTCCTACATTTGCTTTTGTAGTGATATCTCAAAAACTGTTCAAAACTCTGAGCTTATATACCTTGTAACTTGTAATAGAGGAAGATATCAGCCCTTGTGTTGAAATTATGCACAATATACTTTGCAGTGAGTGGGATTAGTATCACAAGGACAATACATTTAGGGCCTGCTGCTTAGAAGGAATTTTGTCACTTTTCATTTTAAAGAATGATTCTTACAGTATTTATAGTGATAATGTTTATGCATTCGTTACCTTCAGTACCTTGAGGATTCCTGAGGTTGAGGGGATATTTGTTCAGTATTATAACTGTACTTTTACCATGATCTTGTTCTGGGTGCCATCCCTAATGGAGACTAAGCAGGTGCCTATGAATGATTGTGATCTTATAACCTCCCCCACTGAGTAGTAAAGTTATGCTTTTCTTTCAAATATTGTAATCTTGATTTTATCTGTATTTGCTTGTATTTATGAAAATTTCTCCATTAGTATATTAAACCAGAAGTCTTCAATGACTTAAGCCAGCCTATTGTAACTGAATCCCATTCTCAATTCCACTAAAGTGATGGGTGTGTAGATGAGAGCAGTCAAAAGGACAGCTTCAAGAGTCGGTGGCCTGACTGCAAATCCTGTTCATTGTGAGTCTCTAGAAAGCACTTGTTACAGAGATAAAGCATTTGTTGTGAAGACAAGAGTAAAGAATTAAGCCAAGAAATTGGACTTTTGTTTTTTTCTCTCCAATTCACTTCTCCTTACCTCAAAAATCTAAAACTTTCTGTAACAGACATCACTTTGTATTCCTTAAATATACACAATAAAATTTATTTGGAAAAAAATTCTCTTATTGCTCCTCTTCCAAAAAAAAAATAATAAATAAAACAAGAGCCCCTTGTGCAGGCAGCTTGATGGATAAAGCCAATGGAGGTTTAGGGTCATTTTCTTTTCCCAGATGAAGGAAATAAGTCTCAAATTTGCTCTGGAAGACTAATTATTATTATTATTATTATTATTATTATTATTATTTTGGTATTTAGTGCAGGGTCTACAGGGACTACAGGGTCTCACTACACAGATCGGACTTGAGTGATTCGCCTGTTTTCCTTTTACCAAGTTCTGGGATTACAGGCACGTGCCACCACACCCAGTCTTAGTCGCTGTCTCTGCATGCCCAGGGGTAGGGCTGGCATAGCAGGCCAGGGATTGAACCTCTGACCCCTGAATCTGCCTAAGCAGGTACTTTAATCTGCTGAGCTATTTGACTGGCCCTAAATTATTTTTATTTTAAAGAAGAAAAACCACTAAAAATGATACAAAATTTCAATATAAGGTAGTAGGAGAGTAACAAAGGTTAGTACATCGTTTATTGCTATCTTCAAAGCAGTTGCTCAGATTATAAGGTTGGGAATGAAAAACTGACCAAAAGATATAAGCAATGAATCTTTCTTTTCAATGAACTAATAACAATTAGTAGTATAACTCTCTTAACTAACATACATACATAAACTTTTCCATAAATATGTAAATTTGTATTTGTTTTTCATATGTATATATATATCCTTTTCTTCTTTTCTTCTTTCCTCCATTCTAATTTTTCTTTCCTTTTGGACAGTTTCTTCCCATTTTCCAGTATCTATTCTATATTTTGGATTTTTACTCTTTCAGCTTCTTACATTAGGGAGACAATGCAATGTTTACACATTTGAGATTGATTTATTACACTCATAAATATGTTCACAAATCTTATCCATCTACTGATAAAATCTTCACATTTATCCTTCATCATAGCTGAGTAGTTCTCTATTTTATAAAAATACTGCCTGTTTTATTCATTCGTTGGGTGATAGGCATTTAGGTTGCTCCCAAGATTTGGCTATGACAAATTGTGTTGCTATCAACATGGGCACACACATGTCACCCTTGTAGGAAGTTTTTAATTCTTCTGAGAAAATATCCAGAAATGAATAGCTGGTTGAATGGGGCCTCTAATCCTAATTTTTAAAAGAACTGTACACTGATTTTTACAGTTGTTGTACCGGTCTACACTCCTGCCAACAGTGGAGAAGGGTTCCTTCTCCCCTACAGCCTGTCCAGCATTTGTTATTGGTTGATTTCTGGATTGTAACCATTCTTTCTGGGGTGAGATGGAATCTCAGTGTTGTTTTAATTTGAATCTCTTAAATTACCAATAATGTTAAACATTTTTTCATGTATTTATTTGTTATCTGTATTTCTTCACTGCATGTGTGTAACTCTTCTAAGATGCCCATTTTTTGTTTGGATCCTTAAATTTGGAGGGCTTTTTCAATTTTTTATATGTTCTAGATAGAAGTCCTTTGTCTGAGGGGCAACTGGCTATAATATTTTCCCACTCTATGGGCTATCTCTTCAATCTGTTGATTCCTTTTGATGTATAAAAGCTTTTTAAGAAAATGTGATCCCAGTTGTTGATCCTTTGGAGTATTTCCCATGCAGTTTGGGTTTTGTTCATGAACTCTCTGCCTATGCCTATGTCTTCAAGATTTATACCTACTTTCTCTTCCAGTAGATTCAGTGTTTTTGTTTTGATATTTAGATCTTTGATCGATTTTGAATTTAAGTTAGTGCATGGTGATAGACATTGGTCTAGTTTTAGTCTTAGGCATGTAGACAACCAGTTTTTCTAGCACCATTTATTAAAATGGCTACCTTTTTTATAGTGAACAGGTTTGAACCCTTTATCAAAGATAAGGTGGCTGAGTGTGTTTGCAGTTGTGTCTGCACCTTCTAATATGCTCCTCTGATCCTGAGGTCTGTTTTATTGGCAAACTAATTTTAAAAATTAAATTTCAAAATTTTGCCCTCTTCTTGAGAAATTGCTTCATCATTGGATGGAAAAAGATTAGGAGATCAAAAAATATACTGAATGATCAGGAGATAGGAATACTTTTTTATACAGACCTGAATTTTCTTTAATTCTTTAAGCATGAGCTTACATGTTTCATAAAAATCAACTTATAGTGTATATTCTTACTTTATCTGACATAGTAGTTTAAAAAGTATCCTTACACACACACAAAAAATGAAAACTGCCTCACATATTGCTTCCTTAGTTTTACAATTGGTCGTGGTACTGCATAATTTCCTTGTATTTAAGCACCTCAATCACTGAGAATTGACATTACTTTTTATATGTCTTTATTGAAGTTTTAAAAAATATTTTCTTGTTTTATAGACTTATAATGCATAGCAATGACCACTACATATGGAAGTTTCTACACATAACCATATAATTTTTATTACAAAATAATTCCTGACTTTCTCAGACAAAAGATTAGTGGTTCAAAGTTTTAACTATCATGTGTCCCAGTGATCAAATTTTATTAAACAGGTGTAAGAGTTTAATCTAAGTAGGATTTTAAATATACTCAGCTCAGTAGTTTCTAAATTTATTTTTAAAAGGAAAAAGAACCCAACAATTTAAGGGGATGCAATTGTTGTGTGAGCCTTTAAGAAGACATTCATACTAGCCTGTCTCTCTCCTTGAAGGTACTGAAGACAAGAGAAGTGGTTTTACTTGGAAAGAAAGCAGATTTCTGGGTAAGTACCATTTTGGGGGTTGAGGACATCAGGACGTAGCCAGGGTTCTAAAAGGAACAATATCCACATCATGGGAAAGGACGTGAGGGGACTTTAATAGGTATAAATCGAGTGTAGATCTTAAGAATACAGGTTGAGTATTCTTAATTGAAATGCGTGGATCCCGAAGTCTCAGATATCAGGATTTTTGTAACATTTTGGAATGCTTGCATACACATAATTCAGTATCTTGGGGATGGTCACCAACAAATGTGAAATTTATGCTACATATACAGTTGGTACAAATAGCCTGGGGCTAAGTTTATGAAATATTTTTAAAATTTTGTACATGAAACAAAATTTCATGGTGTTGGTTTTAAATAGATGCAAAAAAAAAGTTTCAGAGTTTGGAGTATTTTGTGTTTTTATTCTCAGATTAGGGATGCTAGGATAAGATGTTATCTGGGGTTAAAGTAGTCAAGTTTTTCCTAATAGTTTCTTCAAATCCAAGGAAGATGACACTGTAGATGCAAGCATCTGGATTAGTTCCATTTCTCTGTGCTGAGGCTTTTCCCAGAGATTTAAAGACTTGTTCCCAGGCATGGTGGCCCAAACTCATGACTGAAACACTCTTACAGGCTGAAGCAGAGGAATCATAAGTTTGAGTCCAACCTGGATAACTTGGCAATTTAACAACTTAGTAAGATGCTGTTTCACAATAAAACAAGTGGGTGGAGAACTAGGGTTGTAACTCAGGGATAAGCCTTGGATTCAGTCCTAAGTGTGAGAAAGAGGGAGGGCTGGGGAGGGGAAGATGTGTGTGTGTGTGTGTGTGTGTGTGTGTGTGTGAGAGAGAGAGAGAGAGAGAGAGAGAGAGAGAGAGACGGACGGACGGACGGACAGACAGACAGACAGGAAAAAGACAGAACAGGAGGACAGAAGAGAGGAGAGGAGAGGAGGGGAGGGGAGGGGAGAAGAAGAGAGAGGAGAGGACAGAAATGGAGAGAGAAAATGGAGGAGAGGGAGGGAGGACAGAGATTTCATCCATTGAATTTTCTTTCTTTCAAAAATTAATCACATTCACCTTCACCATAGGAAACTTGTACCTGTACATAATATATTTTGATTCTTCCTTTTGTCCCATTCTCCACCCTTGCCTTCAACCTTTCTTCCCCGCCTTATTTACAAAAGTTTTGTTTCTATGTCTCCTTCTATTCTCTTTTTTCTTGTTCTTGTTCCTGTTCCCTCTTACACATTTTATTTTTGGTACTTTCTGATACCTATCATCCATTTTGGTCCTTATTAATCCTTTGCACTTCTTATATAAGAGAAAAAAAGGGGTACAAAAATATGCCTGTCTCATTCATTCCACTTGAAGTGCATTCATTTACCTAAAAATGTCTCAAGTTGGTCTTGAAAGACAATAGTGCCCCTTTAAAGAGGGAGAAAGGACAAATCTTACAAACAGGCTTATTTTGCCTTAAAAAGTCACACTTTCTTATGTGATTCTGTGTTACTTGGATTTGAATGTTAATTTTCATAAGCTTAAAATATTTCCTTGAGACTGAGGGAGAGTCAATCCTTTATTACAGTTCCTTGTCCTACTTCCTGCCATGTAAGTCTGTGGTGTCGGTAGCTAATATTTAAAGGAAATTATTTTTTTCCTTAAAATACCTTTAGATAAAAATGTCATAGGTCCTAAATAAGGATAATTATAAAAACTAGCTGTTTTTTAAAAATGTATTTAGTACAGGTGTTCAGGGTCTCACTACACAGATCAGACTCAAGTGATTCTCCTGTTTTCAGCCTCCCAACCACTGGGTATGCATCACCATGCCCAGTCTCAATCGCTGTCTCAGAGTGCCCTGGGGCTGGGGCAGGCACAGCAGGCCCGGGGATCGAGCCCTCAGTCCCTGTATCTGCCTAAGCAGGTGCTTTAATTTGCTGAGCTATCTGGTCAGCCCTTAAATAAGGATATTTATAATAATTTAAACTTTTAAAATCTGTAGCTACTTTATCTTGTTCTGAACATTAAAGAAAAAAAAATCCATTATGTTAAGCATGACACTGCAAATGTCTCTTAAAATTCAATTTTTACTTATTTATTTATGTATTTATTGGTGGTACCAGGGATTGAACTCAGGACCTTGCACTTGCCAGGCAAGCACTTACTCCACTGAGCTATCTCCCCAGGTCCCTCAGTTTATATTTATTATGGTGTACTTTTTAGAGTATTCTTCATCAATGCAGAATGGATAGACAATTTGTTATAGTGAGGGCGACACTGCCAAGAATGACATGATTCTCTTATAACTTCACACAGCTGTATAGTGCTGAAATCTATTTAAACAGAAAGGTTTTTGTTTCTCTTTAAAACTAAAACATTTACTTCTTAAAAATTTACGTCTTTCTATAGGTAAATTTTACAAGCTAACAATAGATACTTCCATAATAGATGCTTTAATTTCATGTGTTTGGCCCAAACATTTTACTCTTCCACAAAATTTGCTGTAACACTTTAATATATGTCAATCAGAAGAACAATATAGTCTCAGTTATCAAACACCACTAAAAGGCCAGGCTTACCATAGAGCCAGTTATTTCTATCTATCTATCTATCTATCTATCTATCTATCTATCTATCTATCTATCTATTGGTGGTACCAGGGGTTGGACTCAGGACTCTGCACTTGCCAGGTGAACCAGTTCTTTTAGTAGGAGATATAAAGTAGTGAAATGTTTTTATTAACTTTAAGTATGAAAGTATATTACTGCACGAGCTTGACTGAACAATGTTCCAAAGACCGCTTGAACTTGTTATTTGGTAACATCTTCTGATCACTTCAATAGTTTCAACCAAACTTTTGAGTTATTCCTAACTCTGGAAAAAGTGACTTTTCTCTTACTGTCATGTGTAATGTGGGGAGGGGGAAAAGAAAAAAATCATAAAACAAAATTTTACAATTCTATGACAAGTTACTTTTTAATATTTTGTGTACCATTATAAAATGATCTTTCATTTACCAGCAAACAATAGTAAGTTCAACCAGGAATTTGTTTTTATTCATTGAGCTTTCTCTAAGGCATTGTTTGGTATCTCTTTTTGCACACCTGGGAAGGCAAAAGGAAAATTAATCACATCCACCTCACTGCAAGGTCAGTAATGATTTCAAAAGGTGAGACAAATGTTAACCATAATATAAGCTGTAGCATACACAAGCAAAAAGAAATACTTCAATAGACTTAAACACAATAGTGGTTATTCTGTTTTTTAAAATTGAGTTCCATTCTCTGAACATAAAGTTGTGAAATTGGTGATGCTTGCAGCCTTGGGTCAGCAATGCGGTGTGACAGTATTCTCTGTTCTTTTCCGTTACAGATGGTGCAACTTCTAACGCATTCCTGAATTACAAAACAAGAAGAATAGTATTTTAAAATAACAGAGTTATTACACTCTTTGTCCACCAAAGTGGCCATATTCTTACTACACTTCTTTTGGGCTCATATGGTGCTGCAAATACTGGAAAAATCAGTATAAGAAGCAAAAGTGTTTTTCATAACTGTTACTCTTTCTAATGGGAGTGCTAACTTTCAAACACAGCTCTATGGGGAGTTTTGTTGAGTGCAGTGAAGCGCTGCAGATAGCATTCCTTTTCCTTCTAATTCCATGTTGCCTGTCTCTGGATAATCGGGCACCCCCACTTATCCCAAATGTGCCTCTGCTCTGGGTCTGGAATGCCCCAACTGAATTTTGTACGGGAGTGTCTAATCAACCACTAGATATGAGCCTGTTCTCTATAATAGGATCTCCCCGAAAAAATGTCACAGGGCAAAGTATCACACTATATTACGTTGATAGACTTGGCTACTATCCTTACATCGATCACCACACAGGTGCAATTGAGCATGGTGGACTCCCCCAGCTGATGAACTTACAAAACCATTTGGATAAAGCCAGGCAAGACATCCTGTTTTACATGCCCACAGACAGTGTGGGCTTGGCTATCATCGACTGGGAAGAGTGGAGGCCCACCTGGGCAAGAAACTGGAAACCTAAGGATATTTACCGGAATAAGTCTATTGAGTTGGTTCAGCAACAAAACCCACAATTTAATCTCTCATATGCTACAGCACTCGCCAAGGCAGAATTTGAGAGGACAGGGAGGGATTTCATGCTAGAAACTTTAAAATTGGGGAAAACACTTCGGCCCAATAGTTTATGGGGTTATTATCTTTTCCCTGATTGCTACAACACTCATTACACTAAACCCAATTACAATGGTCATTGCCCTGATATAGAAAAGCAAAGAAACGATGGCCTCATCTGGTTGTGGAGAGAAAGTACTGCTCTTTTCCCATCTGTTTATCTGACCAGCCGCTTAAAGTCATCTCCAAACGGCGCACTCTACGTCCGTAGTCGTGTGCAGGAGTCCATTAGGGTTTCGAAACTCTCTAATGCTAGAAATCCACTTCCTATCTTTGTATATATCCGCCTGGTTTTTAGTGATCAAACTACTATATTCCTTGAGATGGTAAGTAAATTAAAGTATGACAACTGGAAAATAATGTCCACAAATAATGTTCAATGGAATTTAATACTACTTTTTTTTCCCCCCTGTATTTTAGGGAAGGGTCTATAGGGCGTTCAGCGTCTCACTACTAGATGATCAGACTTGTAGTGATCCGCCTGTTTACAGCCTCCCAAGAGCTGGGATTACAGGCACATGCCTCCATGCCCAGTCTCAATTGCCCTCTCAGAGGGCTCTGGGGGCGGGGCCGGCATGGCAGGCCCAGAATGGAACCCTGGGCCCCTGCGCCTGCTTGCGGGCGCTTTAATTGGCCAAGCTTTTTGGCTGGCCCTTTAATACTATTTTGATGCGAGTGAAATTTAGCTTTTAATATCACTTAGGAAAGTGAACACAAGTAGTTCTGTGTCATTATTATTTTAAGTTAAAATTTTAATCGCTAATGTAATCATATAATCTTTTAACAGCTATGAAGAATTAGGCAACATATGAAATTCATTAGCTCCATTTCCTTTTCCTTTTGTGGTCTTTCTTGTTTAAAGGATTAACAAAAGCACTTATAGTCTCTATATTTTTATAGCAAGGAAAAGGGTTATTTAAAAGTAGAAATAGTGTAGAAAGAGTCAAATTATTATTGTTGGATCAAATTGCTTAGCTTTGGTATTGTAGTTCTATGTATAAGACTTTCATTTTATTCCCATATGCTAATTTTCTATCACATTTGCCAGGATGATCTTGTGAATACAATTGGCGAAACTGTTCCCCTAGGTGTCTCTGGAATAATAATATGGGGAAGTCTTAGTTTAGCACGAAGTATGGTAAGTTCAACTGGTAGGAAATAGATGAAAGTATCTACCTTTAATGTTTCTGAAATTATCTTAGTGGTAAATAAGAAAATAAGTACTATGCTTGGTACATAGTGGTAGGTGTAGAACTAATATTGACTGCACAAAAATACTTCGAATTTGTTTGGCTCAGGTGTAAGGCAGAAAATATTGTACTTACTTTCCAGGGAGGAGTCAGAAATCCAGTGAAATAAATTGCAATTCTCTAGGCCACATGGCTTACAAGTAACACACAGTATCCACAATCTTAGTTTTCTTAAATGATTTTTGATGTCAGAGAATAAATATCTCTCTATTTTCACTACTTAATTCTCCAGGTCTTTTCCCCACCTCTTTCCCCTGGCAAGCACAAGGTCCTGAGTTCAATCCCCTGGTACCGCACACACACACACACACACACACACACACACACACACACGCCAGTCATATCTGTGAAATTCTTTTTGGTAATCATGTACCTTCTTCCAATTTTGTGTGCTTGTGTTATCTCTGGCTTGATTGCCAATTCAAAAGAGAATGAACAGAAAATATAAGTTCTGGGTAAATTATATAACTTTAAGATTTCATGTAAGAAAATTATCTTAAAATTATAATTCTCATGAGTGTGTGCTCAATTTTTACTAGTTATTTTTCCAAAACCATAAACTGCTTTCTCAAGGGTGCTATAAATTCTGTAATGGAAGCATTCATAAGTGTTCTATGCTGCTTCCTTAAAAAACAAAAGAACAAACTGAGAATTTCACCTCACTCTGGTGAGGAACGAATTAGGCAATAGACCCATGGATCGCTTTTTATGTGGCCTCTGCTTGAGAAATTGAGAAATGGGTAATTGCAGGCTCTTCTGCAGCTAATGGAGCAAGAGCTAAGTGAGCCGTTTCTGTCAACTATTTTTTAATTAGATCTAAAAATGTGATGGAGCCAGTTCTATTGACCCCAAGCTTGTGAGATGTGAATATTAAATATTCAGGAATTTTGTGAGCCATTTTAGCCTTTACTAAAGATTTAATCATCAAAGCATACAAAAATACATAGTGTGTAAAAGCAAAGATAATACTCAAAATATATCCATTACTTTCATTTTATTATACTTTTTCAGGTTATTTATATCTATTGTATCTTTATAAATAAAAAATATTATATAATGATTGCTACAGACATCATACTACCATACTGTATATTGATGATGTACCTAATTCTCAATTTTTCATTCAATGGGGTCATACTGATAGCATGAATTAGGCCATGGTGGAAGTATTTACATTGTGATATTCAATGTTAAATGCCAGACCTTATCAATAACATAGAAACTATTAGGTCTTTCCATAGACTGTATTTTATGTAGGTTAATGATTCTTAAGTGATTTTCATGTCTTTATCTTTTTTGTTTTGACTATGCCAAACAAAACTGTTACAACTGAGGATTTAGAAAGCAACTTATAATAAGTCTTGAGAACTTGCTATAAATGCTCCTCTTGGTTAGGAATGCAATGTTGAAGAATACTGACAAACTCAATGCATATTGTGGTCTTTGTATTGGCAATGTATTAATTATTGAAACTGTCCTATTAATTGGTTTTGAAATTGTCTCATTGCTATGTGTTTTGCAATAAAATTAATAATAAAAAAGAAGTAAACTCAATGCGGTTTTAGAACTTATTAGTCCTTAGAAAAATGCATAAATAAGGGGAATATTGGATTTGATAATTACTATACAGGGCATTAGAGTTGCAAATTGATAAGAAAGCTATTATATCTGAGAGGTCACTGTCTATTTAAATATGAATAGCAACATGGAGTGAACCATGTTAAAAATTGAAGGGAAAAGTATTCCTAGCTGAGGGCAGTGTAGTGTTGTTTAAAATGAACCTGGGGGGCTGGGAGATGGCTCAGTAGAATAAGCACTTCCCTGGCAAGTGCAAGGGCCTGCGTTCAATCCCCAGTTGTGCCAAAAAATTAAAAATTAAAAAAAGGTAAGATGAACCTGGTTTGCTAGTGCAACACCTACTATGTCTAAGGAGTGTGAGTGTAAGAGTGTTGTCCAAGAGGTAAGAAGGGTTATATAGTGGCAGACTGCTGCATGCAAGTCAAGAGAAGTTCAATTTTATTTCATATTCAGTGCAAAGCCTCTGAAGATTAAGAGGACAAATTGTTTTAGTTTTCTATTGCTTCCATAAAAGCAAAAATAAACTTAGTGACTTAAATATACATATATGTTAATATATTTACATATATTTACATACTTCTGTAGCTAAAGGGTCCAACATGGGGTTCAATGGGCTAAATTTAAGGTTGTCAGAAGGCTGCATTCCTGTCTAAGAGACATTCCTTACTTGCTCATTTGGATTCAATTTCTTGTGTTTGGAGCAAAGGGATCTCTATTATCTCGTTGGTTGTTGAAGTTCATTTCTATCTTTTGGAGGGCCCCATGTTCTTTAACTCCTGGCCCTTCTTTTCTATTTTCAAAATTAAGAATTGTGCATTAGGTCCCTCTTACACTTTGAATCCCTTCTCCTTCTTCATCTTATTTTTCTCACCCAACTGGAAATGTTTTTGCACTTAGAGATTATCTTTCAGGATAACCTTCCCTTCTCATGTACATGTCCTCAACCATACACACTTACTTCCTTTACCATGTAAGCTAACAGAACCACAGCTCCCAGGGGTGAACGGCATGGACAAGCATCTTTGGGATGCCATTATTATGGCAATGGTAGATGGCATCACCTCAGGGAAGGCAGAACTAGAACACAGGAGAACCGTTTCAGTCCTTGAATCGCCAGCCCCACCTCTGCAGAGAGGTCAGAACAGCCAGCCGACTCAGCTGAGCTGCTAAACTGTCCTTAATGTTTTTCAAAGCACAGTATTGTTTTTTCAAAACATACAAGCATCAGCATTAATTATTCAATTATTCATCTAGAATATTTGCCACATTTATGAACAAGCTGCCATTATTCATACATGATTTTATTATACTTAACCTTTAGTGTATACTCAGTTGGAGCCTCTCTGTGTTAAACAATTGACTTAGAATTATTTTCAATCCTGTTTAAGCTTGTCTGATGTATGCAATGCTTACTATATTTATTTTTAATTTGTTGAGGGTTTACAGAAGTTATGCTAGGCCCTGTATCAAAAACATTTTTGTATTCATTGTATCTTTTGCATTTTTTGCCTGGCAAAAATGTAGGCTCCAAAATTATCCTTACTGCACAAGAGATGAGATAGAAGCATAACCAAATTAATTGATTTGCTGAGGTCACCCAGGTAGAAAACTAAGATTAGAAGCTTTGAGTGGTTCCTAAATTTACATAGCTCATCATCAATTAAACCCGGAAATCAATCAGAGGAAATAGACCCTAGACGCTGTATTCTAACAGCTGGACCAATCTGTTCCCTTGATTGATACATAAATGATTGCAGAAGATCAGATCAGAGTGTGCTAAGCCTCAATTTATAGATTATTTGGTGGCATGATGTGAGATGTGAAGCAGTGTTAGAAAAAACAGAACAATTTTGATTGTTAAAGTTTAAAAATGTTCATAGTTCCTAACTTTTTGTGTGCCCATTGTTTTTTCTTTAATGATTGATTATTTCAATAAGTAATTTAGTGCATTTATGCACTGATATTTTCAACATTTTATAATTTTTCAGAAATCTTGCCTGGAACTAGAAAATTACATGAAGAATACACTCACACCTTACATAATCAACGTCACTCTTGCAGCCAGAATGTGTAGCCAAGTGCTTTGCAAGGAGCAAGGAGTTTGCGTAAGGAAAAACTGGGATACAAGTACCTACCTTCACCTAAACCCAGCGAATTTTAATATTGAACTTGATCCAAATGGAAAGTTTGTGGTACATGGCAAACCTTCACTTGAAGACCTGCAAGAATTTTCCAAAAATTTTCAATGCAGCTGTTATAGCAATGTGCCTTGTAAGGATAGACTTGATGTCGAAAATGTTGGCTCTATTAATGTGTGTACTGTTAATAATGTTTGTATAGATGCGCTGTTAGACTTTCAGACCAGTGCTGATGACAGCGATGATGACAGTGATGATGAGCCTCCCCCCACAGATGATACCTCTGGAAGTGAAAGCAACGTCTGGGACACCACATCGTCTGCCACACTGTGCCCACGAGATCTCAGTTGGTGCCTCTTAATTCTCTGTCTGTTTTCACAGCACTGGAAATACTTGCTATAGGCTTAGACAACTCAAAACTACAAAATTGAACATCATCTTACACACGATCAAGATCCTTTGGATTTTTGAAACAATATACATTTTTCTATGGAAGACAGTATAAGGCTAATGTTTCCTTTTTAAGAAGTGATAATCTGAATAAAACCAAATTACTGCAGATGAATGTCTTTATTAGTAGTTCATAGTTTGTTTAAAGTATTAAGGTGAAAACTTTTGTCTTTTAAAGTACAGCATCCCAAATGTATTAGTCTGTTTCACTGAACTATAATTTTTAGCTGTGTTCTCTTAGAAACATGTTGTATGGAACAGCAAACAAAAAATACTCCTATGTTTGTACATGACTTCATAGCTTTTCATAATTTATATCTATAAAGTATTTTAAGTTTCTTTTAATTCCTGATTTTCAAGTTTAATCTTACATACCTAAAAACACTTTATCTAAGAATCCATTCACTCGGCCATTTGCATCCTTCACAGGCAGGGATAGAGAAACTTTTAGAGATCAAGTGCCCAAACTGCAACCCCAAACCCATTTACTTATCACAAAATGCCAACACTGCAACTAAACCTGAATACCCGTGGGGTTCAGGGTGACCTGGCTCATGGGCAGATGGACGGCTCTGCCAGCGCGCCATGCCATGTGTTCCATAGGATGGCCACTACAGACTGAGGGCGTTGAGTGGTGGTTCTCTGTAGACCTGGCACTGAGCCTCACATCCTCCAGGTGAAGCGGGGTGCTCCTTGCCATTTGTACTTTTTGTATGAAGGTGAAAGAAGTTAAATGTGGAAACTTACAACGTAACGTGTTGTAATGCTATGATAACTTTAGAATGTTCTGACATTCAGAAGTGGAAGGTGTCAGAGGTTCTTGAAGAAGATGATGTGTGAGTTCCTTTAAAGACTCTAGGAACTTTGAGAGAGCAGGAATTTCCAAAAGATGGACTAGTCAACGGGGTATTTAGTGTGGTACTGAGCACTGTGTATTTAAGATGCTCGCCAATCTTTAGACCTGCCCTATTTTTTGGTATCCAAACCCATATAAATAGGTTCCGCCCTCTCTCTCTCTCTCTCTCTCTCTCTCTCTCTCTCTCTCTCTCTCACACACACACACACACAAAGACAGTTGGGATGCTACACTTTAAGAGAGTGACAGAGAGACAGATTGAGTGGAAGCTAATGGCCCATACTTTGAGCACCTCTTGTAACTGTAGATGCCAAAAATAATTTGTGTTAATCTCATGATGTCTCAAAAAATTTAGTATTAAAATATTTACACAAGTTTTTCTTTTCCTGATGTATACATTTATTGGTAGACTCAACATATGTAAACATCAGGATAGGTAGTATTTGGCCAGTTTTTCTGACAGCTATACCTACAGTGTGATGAGCAGTATCCGGACTTAGCAGGAGCCAAGTAAGTACTTGTTGAATGAATAGAAGTTAATAGAAACTCAGTAAAAGATTTTAAACATGGAAATAGTCCTGGTCACATCTTATCACTTGAGGGCTCTTGGATAAATATTGCTTTCTGCTGTGTCCTTCTTTATCCACTCCAGTTACAATCTGGTGATCAAAGTTATGTTTAATAAATCCATTGCGAAAGAAACAACTTTAAAAGGACCTACAGGCGAACTACATACAGACTGGTTTACCCATAATACGTTAGTGATGGTCAGTGACAGCAGGGATCAGGACTTTTGAGTGAAGGCAGCAAGGCATATTGAAAAGGTGATGGATTTCACAACTGAACAATTCTAATAGAAAATTTTAGTTCCCAAAGTTTAATAGCTAGATAGGTCTGTCAGCGTTAAAGTGGCCTAGATTCTGCTTTATTAAAAGCCCAAAAAGATATACTTTTTTTAGCATTTTTGAGGAGATTGAATTTGAGATAGTACTCCATATATCAAAAGCACTTCGTCTATAGGAGAAGGGGATGGATACATTTCATTATGAATGCAAAGATGCTGCCATTGCTGCTGCTAAATGTGAAAGCAGCGTGTGTCTGTAGGGGCAGGCTTTAGTTCTGCTCCTGGTATCAAAATAGAGCACCAAATGGAAATACAGATTTGGCAAGAATATTTTAATTAAAATATAAATCTGTTTATGATTAGGGTTGAAGAATAAAACTGCATATTCATTTCAATCAATTAGGTATCTGAATTAGAGAATTCCATAGGGTTCCAGCTTTTCAAGAATTTGGATACTGATGGACGTACCCTCAGGAATAAAAACTGTCCACAGAATGTGGTATAATGTGTGTAAAAACTGTAGGACTCTAACAATACAAGACTCAGGTAATTAACAGAGAATACTAAAGTAGTAATTAGCTTCAAAATTTATATATTTCAAAGCAGACTATATATCTACTCTTCTATGTGTCTTATAAAGCCTACCTGCTTGGCAGAGGGCTCAGTCTCAAACTTATTAGAGAAGACATTGATCTTTATGGAACAATTGTTTTTTTAAGATAAATTTGAAGAGAAAATGAAGCCAACCACTGTGTATATTGCAAATATATTCAATTTTATTAGAAGAAAGCAGACATTCACTAAGAGATTACCAAAACTTATTGATTAATATTTATTAAGTAGTAATGAAGAAATAGTAGCGGTGAGTTTAAAAAATGCCTTAAGGTTTAGGAGTTTAGCTTAGTGACAGAAAGCTTGCCTAGCATGTGCGAAGCCCAGGGTTCAATCCTCAATACCACACATATACATTCAGATGCCTTGGCAGTGGCTATAATGATGTATGTGTGTATGTATGTATGTATGTATGTATGTATGTATCTATCTATCTATCTATCTATCTATCTATCTATCTATCTCTCATTAGTTAATTGTTGATATACTTGTTCCAAAATTAATTGTTGGATTCTTAACATATGCAGACTCTATGCTAATGTAAACATGATTGATAGGAAAATAACTAATGTTGGTGTGTAAGACAAAATGAAAAGTAAAAGGCTACAAATTCAGAAATACTTCTCAAAATGCCATTTTTATTTAATGGACAAGTGGTAAAGATAATTCCTGAAATTTTCTATATATTGGCTATTGATGAAGTGGTCACGATCTTCAGGTGGCATCCAACCTACCATTGCAGACAAGGACACGTAAGGATGGAGCATTTGGTGACTAGTGCATTTTGTGATTATTTACTAGGCATATATTTCACCCTGCCTTGGAGGAGTCTGACCATTAGACCACCTCCTTTCTATCCCATTCCATGTAAACTCAATGTAGAGACAACCATAAGTTTGGACTCTGCTATATTATGTGATAAAAGGTTGAAATGTTGCAGTGACTATACTATAGTTGCTATTGATTGGCAATGAGTTTGATTAGTTTCTGATTCAGTTCCTTAGCTATCATGGGTGAATGTATTTTCTTTCACTAAAGGGTATTAATTTTGAATTTAGACACTTCAAAATTTTCTATCACCCTCTGTTTCTTTTGATACATAATGTGAAGGATATTTCTATTTCTAAATATTTGCAATGGATTCAAAGTAATAGAAAAACAATATTTTTGCTAATATTTTGTTTTGTTATTGGTTCTTTGTGAGTTCTGTAGTGAGTGTATATGTTAGCTAAAGTGAATAACTAGCTTTAAAGCATGCATTTATTTATTTTGGTACCAGGAATTGAACTCAGGACCTCATTCTTACCAAGCAAGTGCTGTGCCATTGAGCCAAATCCCTGGCCTCTTAAATTTGCTTTTATTTATTTATTTATTTATTTTTTATTTATTTTATTTATTTATT